GGACAACAGCCTGCGGAATGTCGAAGACCCGCTCAACGCTGCTTGAAATTGTAATTTAATTTGTAATTGATTGTGGATTTTGTATCCAGTTTTCACTTTATGTATCTTTATACAATGTTTACTACTTTGCTTATGAGGACAGACAGCCTTATTTACAGATTCTTGACATTCAATTGTAATTTCATTTGTAAATAGTTACATTCATGTGGATTTATCCAGTTTGCACATTTGTATGCATGCACTTATAGGTGCATTTGTTGTTGTTGAAGGCCTGGCTGTTAGTCTTTATTTACACTATTTTGTTGTAGGCCTACTGGCCTAGATGTTTATGCAGTTTTAAAGCACCTTGGCTTTGTTCTGAATGCACTTTGTTGTAGTTATCCTACAGAGAAAAGAAAATGCACTTGACTTGGAATTAATGTCTGTATGCATTCAAAAGTGCTGAATAAATGTTTTATGGACCCATAATAGTGATTATTATTTAAGTTAAGTTCTGCCATAATCATTTATCTTTCCATAATCAGGCAGCTGAACAACATTGGTAAAAAATGTATACATTATATATTTCTATTAATCATTTTCGGCCTTTCGGTATTCGGTTTTCGGCCAACTGTTTCCTATTTTCGGTATCGGTTTCGGCCAAGAATTTCCCATTCGGTGCACCCCTAATATATATGCTGGTTACCCCCTTTTGCCATAAAAGATGATGGCCGTTGCTCCTCTAAATCACCTCATATTGTAAAAATATTTTGCATACGTTATTACAACATGAATTGGAACATTTTTATCCCCTTAACAGATCAGCAGGTTAAAAATGATTTTTTTGATGCACCCTAATAGAGGGTGTTGTTTTTCTCATACTGATATTCTGAACAATCTGTGCTGTTGTATTAGCTGTAAAGTGTATCTACTGTAGGCTATTTTTTATTTTATGTACAGCACTTTGGCTCGACCAAAGATTGTTTATAAATTTGCTATATAAATAAAACTTGATTTGATTAGTCCCGTCTCGTCAACGAAAACTCAATATACATTTCGTCATAGTTTGTATTATCAAGAATCTATTTTTAACTCGTCATCGTCTCAGTCATGTAAAAAAGGTCGTTGACCAACATTTTTCGTCAGATTTCGTTGACGAAATTAACACTGAACTATACGACATTTCAACCAAAGCAACATAGTAAAAATGGAAAAAATTAAATAAAGTAAAAACAAATGAAACATGGAGGTTGAGTAAAAACGAGCCATGGCATTTTTAGTTCAAGACTTTAATAAAGAGATGAGTTTTAAGAAGTGATTTAAAAGCATAGCTGTGATCTCTGCTAAGAGCATTTCTGAATCGAAGAATTAAAAGCGATTCAATTAAAATCACATCAAAGCAATATTTCTATTTATGTAATTAAGAAGGGATAAGACACATTATTTAACATGAACAATTGAGTCCATCATGTAAATGTGACAGATTAGCCATAGAGGCTGATTTATATCTACATACATACAATGGAAGGTTGATGGGGATTGAAAAAAACAACAAAATAGAAGCTTGATTGCAGCACATATGATCTTCAATACACACAAGTATAAAAAATTAAATAAAAATCTCACCTGAGCAGGGCTCCTTCGATGTCCCTCTGCTTGGCGGGGGGGGCGCTGCTTCCCATGTCTGAGAGACTACGCCTGAGGAAATACACAGAGACGGGAAATTGTTTGTTACAGTAGCATGTTTAAAAGGCATTGCACACAAATATAACTAAATAAACTGTAGAAAGGATAGCTATAGAAGACTCAATATGAAGTATATGAGAATTCGAAATACCTTAAATATTCCCAATTGGTTTTCATTCATTCAGTTCAAACCACTAAAAATGCATGACTATACAAAAATGTATTGATTGCATTGCACATCCTACATGTCTGATCAGTGATTAGTTTTAATTAAAACGATTTTAGAGAGATTATGAATGAAATTCATGGTTGTTTTAGAAGATTTAGTTTGAGGTGCAGTTAGAAAAGTATAGTTACATATTATATTCATTCATATTTAAAAGTTTCAATGTACATACATCTAGCATAAACATGTCTTCATTAAAAACCCTGTCGTCTATTTTCAATCACATATCTCCTGTATTGCAGTAAAAGTGAAACCATTCTCACATTTCAAGCAATACAATTCCAAAGCGGGGTCCCGATTTTAAAAGCTTGATATTTTATTAAAAGCGCAAAGGTTGCATACCATTTGATAGTAACCTCCTGAATGAAAATGAATGCTATATAATGTAGTAGTTACCTGAGCAGGTTCATCCCTCTGCCTCTACCTCCTCCACCGGGGCCTGCCATGGGGCCGCTCATCCGACGGATCTGACCCGGTCTGTAAAGACAGCAATACACATGATAAGTGCATGCGAGAACCAGAAACCTGTTCGTTCCGGTAATTCAGCTCCAACGGAAACTGTTTTGATGAGCATTGATTCCTTGGTAATGCTAACGTTTTAGAAACAGTGCTATTCGCTTCAACTAAGCAGGACACCGGACGACGCATTATGGGCCTAGCAATAGTTAGCATACTGCGTTTGATATTCCACTCCACTGTTTAAGCCAGTTGTGTGTTCCATGCAGTGTTTATGTCTGTAGTGTTTGTCATGTTTTAGTTTGGACACAGGTGTGGGGTCAGCTAGCACAACACAATCAAACGAGGTGGCTATGTTTGCTAATTAGCTAGCCGACTAATGCTAACACACGTCGCTACTCATTTGGATGCTAGCTAGTTAGCTTAACTCTAAACACACCCCCAAAAGCTAAATAATCAGTCGGCTTTATTCTTCTTTACCTTGATTCATTAGGGTCACGTCCAGTTAATTTACGAATATTATCGTCCACACTTTTCAGGCTTTGTTTTGCTTTTTCAAGCTGGTCTTGCAAGCTCCGCACTACCACCGCCATCTTGCTTCCAGTTAGCGCGAATCACGTGTTTCCTCCTCTTCGGCTGCTTTTTTCTTCTTCTTTGGTTTATCGGCGGCTGTCACGCGAGGTTGCGTTGCCGCCATCTGCTGCTCAGGTTTTCTCCTAAAATCGATAACCACTTTTACTACATACAGTTGCAAGAAAAAGTATGTGAACCCTTTGGAACTACCTGGATTTCTGCATAAATTGGTCATGAAATGTGTTCTGATCTTCATCTAAGTCACAACAATAGACAAACACAGTCTGCTTAAGCTAAAACCACACAAACAATTATATGTTTTTATGTTTTTATTGAACACACCATCACCATTCACAGTGCAGGGTGGAAAAAGTATGTGAACCCTTGGATTTAATAACTGGTTGACCCTCCTTTGGCAGCAATAACCTCAACCAAACGTTTCCTATAGTTGCATATCAGACCTGCACAACGGTCAGGAGGAATTTTGGACCATTCCTCTTTACAAAACTGTTTCAGTTCAGCAATATTCTTGGGATTTCTGGTGTGAATCGCTCTCTTGAGGTCATGTCACAGCATCTCAATTGGGTTGAGGTCAGGACTCTGACTGGGCCACTCCAGAAGGCGTATTTTCTTCTGTTGAAGCCATTCTGTTGTTGATTTACTCTGTGCTTTGGGTCGTTGTCCTGTTGCATCACCCATCTTCTGTTGAGCTTCAATTGGTGGACAGATGGCCTTAAGTTCTCCAGCAAAATGTCTTGATAAACTTTAGAATTCATTTTTCCGTCGATGATGGCAATCTGTCCAGGCCCTGAGGCAGCAAAGCAGCCCCAAACCATGATGCTCCCTCCACCATACTTCACAGTTGGGATGAGGTTTTGATGTTGGTGTGCTGTGCCTTTTTTTCTCCACATAGCGTTGTGTGTTCCTTCCAAACAACTCAACTTTGGTTTCATCTGTCCACAGATTATTTTGCCAGTAGTGCTGTGGAACAT